CATGTTAAATGTAAACTTATATACATATATGTCATGTAAGCTTATTAAAACGTTCACTGTTCTCTCTTTAATACCATAAATCACATATGTAACATATGAATCTTTTAAATGTGAACTTATGTCCATGTAAGCTTGTTAAAACTTTCGCAAATCTTTCACTATTCTCTCTTAATTGTTATCATCAATTATATGTAACAATGAAGTTGTTAAAAGTGAACGAGAGGAAGAGAAAGTAGCCGTAATCCTTGGACATAAGTTCATGTCATGTAATTTAATTGTAACAAATGAATTTGCAAAAAAGAAATTATCAAAATTTCTAAACCATTTCATTAAAACTACAAGTATTTCGTTTTCCTAAACAAGTGATGTAAACGTTCTATACCATATTTTACCCTCACTTTATAGTTATTTCCGTATGGTTTTTGAGCTCTACGGAGCTACTTCTCGCTAATATTCTCTTCTCTAGTGTAGCTTGGTCTATTTAATTGTTTTTGTAGGCACATAAAGATTTTCGGATGATTTGGACTTGTTTTGGATAGTCATGAGAGCTTATTAAGATGGAGAGAATTTTACCCGTGTCCGCCCTGGAGGACAACATTGCCCTGGCAGCCAGGGCGAAGAAGGAAAAGAAGAGAAGTCGTGAGAAAGAAGTGAAGAGTTCAAATTCCATCCGCCCGGACCAGGCGACATTGCCCTGGCAGACTGGGCGGACAAAAGCGCTGCATATGAAGGAATTCTTGAAGGTGTAAGCTCAATTTTGCTTTACGCGCCCGACCGGGCAGCCTTGCCCGGTCAGACCGGGCGGAGTGTCGAAGACCCCGTTTTCCTATTTTTTTCGGGATTTTTCTTAATTAAGGGATATAAATACCCTTTGTAAATCCCGACTTAATATACTTAGTTATCATATTCTAGCTTTTAAACCTTCATTAGAACCCTAATATTCTCTCTAGATCTAGATTACATTTCACTTTCAAGTTTTAATCTTTATTCATCAACAATTGGTACTTTTCTTCATTCAAGCAATTGGTATTCATCTTTAATTCTTCTTTTACTTTTAATTGCTTATTAATCATGTTTTCTTCATTGAATATTGTTTTTGCTTTCGTTAATATGTGTGAGTAGTTTCTTTATTCCAAGATCTAGCGGATCCCGAATATGATTAATGCATGATTTAATCCTTTAAACTCTCTAATAATAATTGCAATTGATATGCTTAATTGATTATGCTTATGCCAATACTAGATTAGGGATAATTGGTATTGTTATTAATCCTTTGTTTTAATCGCAACGGGAGTTGGATTTTGATGGATTTGAATAAATCAATTAAGGGTTTGAAGTTCATCATGGGAGTAGTTGAATGGATGATTAGGAAGTTAGAGTAATGTGCTTAAGGTCTTTAATTTACATGATTCCACGGAAGTAGGCTTGATTGTGATTAGAGAAGCCATTGATAACTCGGGAGAGACCATTGGTATTATTCATGGATTACTTTTCCTCATTAATCATTTGAATTATGTGTTAGGGGTAGAACAACTATTGCATTAATTGTATTCGTGGTGAAGCTTGATCTTGGATGTTTTTAGCATTGAATTGTCATATTGTTTAGATTTTATCGTTTTAATTAGTTTTTTTAGATATTGAGTCTTACTTATTTTATTTGGTTACTTGCTTAGTAATTGCTTGAGTCTATCTAATTAGTTGAACCATAGTCTCTTGGGATCCGACCCTTGCTTGCCCGTCTACATAGTAGTGGTCTAGTTAGGTTTATTTTTGTTAGGTACGCGACACGCCTATCAACAAGATATTATTATACGTATATAATTTTCTAAAAATAAGTTTTTTGCACTTAGGCCCTGTTCTTTTCACCTTAAAAAAACAATATTAAGTAAAAATAATTTCAGTTCAGTAAAAATAAGTTCAGTTCAGTAAAATTAATTTCAGTTCAGTAAAAATAATTTCAGTTCAGTAAAAATAAGTTTAGTTCAGTAAAATTCAGTTTTCTTAAAGAAGAATTATAAAAGAAAATCAGTAAAAATAATTTCAGTTCAGTAAAAATAATTTAAGTTCAGTAAAAATAATTTCAATTCAGTAAAATTAAGTTCAGTTCAGTAAAAATAAGTTCAGTTCAGTAAAAACAATTTCAGTTCAGCAAAATTAAGGTGAATCAAACAGGGCCTTAAACTTCTTATATTACTTGTTTTGAAAGAGTGGACGTTGTTTCTCCCATTTAAAGCTTGTTCAGTTCACCTTATTTTTGCTTATTTGATCTAGTATGATTTGATCTAAACTGGTCTAATATGATCTGATAGTCTAATTTGAGCAACTTTGACCTTATGTGTATGATAATCAATGAAGGGAAAATATATCAAGTGGGTCATGTTAGATTCGTAATAATGTATATTTTATCAATATTTTTCATAATTTTTTTCATTATAAAATTAAAGATATTTAGCGATAAAAAACCGCACATAAAATAATGATCTGATTTGAATTTATTTTTACATATCTGAACTTATTTTTTCTTTATCTCATCTGATATGAACTATTAAGTAAAATTAAAATCAACTAAACATGACCTTAAGTGATACTATTGGGGCATGGAACTCACGTGGGCAAAGCAAAAAAGAAAAGGCAACTATGAGAAGATGCGGATTGGAGAATGCCCAAAAGTGTGCATATTAAATTGTGTACATGTGTGCCCGTGTGTTTATGAATGGTAAAAATCTCCCTCTAGCTTATTTTAGCCTTGCCAAAAAGACTTTCAAACCCCACCTTTAAAAAAATCTTTTATTACTATGATATTTATCAAAATTATGGGCATGTTCACATTTACTAAACTAAGTTAAACTGAGTTGAAATGAATATTTTATGAGAGAAGAAAAGTAGAAGTTGAATTGAACTAAACTGATTGGAGCTGAACTAAACTGAACTAAGCGAAAATGAATATTTTATGAGAGAAGGAAATTAGAAGCTGAATTGAACTGAATTGATTGGAGCTGAACTGAACTAAGCTGAAATGAATATCTTATGAGAGAAGAAAATTAGAAGCTGAACTAAACTATTGGAGCTGAACTGATCTGAACTAAACCAAAGTGAAATTAAGCTGAAGTGAACAGACTCTATGTATTCTAGTAACTCTACTGTGATCAATGTTAGTGGCTTATACTTTTGATTTACAGTGGCAGAATCACGGAGGTTGGAGGTTGATCATGACCTCCCCGCTTAGTTTTAGTTATATCTATTAAATGTAGCTATTCATGATGTTAATTGTATCATGGTTGTGTTTGTTTTAGGTGAGTATTGAGATTCCATTTCAAGCTCCCAAGTTCGGTATTTGAATTGTCTAAGTTATCTAGGAAATGGCCTCAAATTCCAATATTGTACAATACATAATCAATTGACATAAAATTCACATGAATGGTGTTGTTTAGTAAGCTGATCAGCAAACAAATATTTAGAAGTATATTACTCATACTTGTTTTTGTTTGAACTTGATGAGCTCTTATTATTATATTGGAATGAATGTATGCAGTACTATATGTTTAATGTCACGAACCATCTTTCATGGTCTTTCGATTTCATCCACAATTAGTAAATTCACATTTTATCAATCAATTACGGATTCTAAACAATATTTTTTATTCGCTGTTATCAATTACGGTTGTCAAAATTTTTAAAATCAACGTGGTTCAAATATAATTTGAGGTATGGAGAATGACACATTCACACACAACATGATAAAGTAATTATCAATATAACCCTTAAAAATTATATATATATATATATATTATTTTTATATTTAAAGTAATATTACAAAGTTTTTTGCTATTAACAGTAACTCCTCTCAAACTATTTGAATATAGCCACTGAAAATAGCTAATTACGTACAAGTTGAGGTTCAATATTTATCCTCCCCCCCCCCCCCCAATTTTAACACTTCTTCTTTCTATTAAAGCTCAAGACATATACATTTGTTTATCGTGTGGGCTAGTTGAGAGAAAGGATGGAAGAGGGACACAAAGTAGGCAAGACAACTCAATAATAGACCAATAGATCCTGATTGACAATTATTCGATAATTTTTACTTTCTCTGTTTTTTTAAGTGCCCCAATTAAATTGAATATGTCAATAATTACTAGTATGTTTATTTATAAATATTAACATTGGTTAAAGTGTTGTATGTGAATAGTGCAAAAGTCAAGTCGAGACACTTAAAAAAAGCAGAGGATGTAGCTAGTTCACAAGTTGTATTGTTTTTTCTAATTAGATGATTGTAATATTGAATTGACTAGTTAACTATCTATAACAATTACCAAAGTGAAATTTATTTGGAGGGAATTTTTCCCTCTAAAAACCCATTTATTATTTATCTGTTTAATTTTATTAATTTTTTGTTTATCTTTAACATAAAAAATCTCATATATAAACCCAAATTTATATATGACAATTCTCTTTTCTATGAATTAGAATAATTTTTTTAATACTTTTCTCCATGTAATAAATTTTTATAAATTGTTTTTGAGGAAATACATTACAACAATTGAATAAACCAAATTGTTTTCTCTCATTTATTGTATTGCTCCTTATTATATGTCTTTTTAGAAAGGAAAAAAAAAAGTTGTATACAAGTTACAAAATATTTTCTTAAGCTAGATCAATAATGATTTAGCAATTTATGATGAATTTATATTGGCTAAATTGACGTAATATAAAAACATTATAGCTCGAATAGTAAAAGTACTCGATATATTATTGTTTATTGATAGATATTATTAAATGAAATGGCCAATAAAAACATTAAAATAATTTATCGTTTGGTAAATTTTTAAGTATTCTTGGTAAAGGATACATTATAGCAGAAGCTAGTATCAAAACCTACCTCAAATCATTTATTTACATTTAAAAAAAAAAAACCAAAGAGTGGAATCATAGTATATAAACTTTATATAAAAGCACTCTATACATTAATATATATACATTGAAACCTTTGTTTGCCATACTACTATACTAGTAGTATCAAGTGTTTAGTCCCACCCTAAAAATTCTTTTAACAAAGTTTTCCCCTCTCTATATCTATCTATCTCTTTCTCTTATATCTAAGTGGCTAAAATTTCCTCCATTTTCTTCTTCTCGTACCAAAATTTTCTGCTACCCTTAAATGGGTTGAAAACTTGGCAACATTATATCCATAAATCCATAATTCATCCCAACAAAAGTACCAATAATACAATTACTACCTCGTCTTTTGTCGATATTATTAAACCCCGCATGACCAAAGAAACTGGCTACTTTCGTCTCGTGCAAAGGTTTGTATTAATCTCCCACTAAATTACCATTTACTATCTTGGTAACAAAATCTTTCATTTATGTCATTACTTTGACTACAAAAATACAGACATAATAGTATGGCATATGTAACCACATAATTGTAACTCCTTTTATGTATTTTTATTTTCTTATCTTTACCCTAATTTCATTTCCTCTGTTATTTCCCTGATTTTTTTTTCCCTCTCATTCTCTGTTTTCCTCTGTTTTTTTTTAAAGAAAAAAATAATAATATTTTTGCATAATTTTTCATTCTTGAGTTAACATAAAAATTTCTCCTGTTCTTAGGAAAATCTCTTTTAAGTCAATCCGTGGCACGGAACTGTCATTTTCTCTCTAGTCCGTACAACATCGATAATAATAACAATAACAACGACGACGACAGCAACAACGCAGTATAAATCCCGATAAGCTATGTGCCCCGCGAATGATTCCGGAGCGATTATCGATAGCGAGTCGTTGATCCAACCTAGTATAGAAGATAAACAAGAATGTGATCATGATAGCAGCAATCAAAGACTTCTTCATGGCATCCTCCATCGTCTCCCATTGAGTGAGGTAATTAACAGCTTTTTTTTCGTTTTCTTTTTTAACTCTTCTATTTTTTTTAATTAAATCTTTCTTTCTTTATTAATTTACTTTTATTTATGTAATAAGTAAAAGAATTGTCAATGTGCAAGGGATTTTAAATTCCTCTAAAAAGATGTTGACTACCTCTTATTTTTATTAGGTGCAACTTTGGGGTATTATTTATAAAGTATAAAATATTTTAAAGTTGCAACTAAAAAAATCAGAGGTAGTATTTTTTTTAATATTATATGACCTTATTATGTTAATCTAATAATATTATTACATAGACTTTAGGTTTGCTCAAGAGTTTGATAAAAATCATACTTGGGCAATTTTCTTGTCACTATTCCATTAAAATTTTCTCTATATCTTACAATAAACTTCATTGTAGTTACTAAATGTAGGAAAAACCCACAACTCAATTTCAATAAAATTACCATTTACCCAAAATCACTACCAAAGCACCAAGTCGTAATTGCACATTTGCGTAACCTAAGGGGTGATTATGTCTATTGAATTTCCACGTGTGTTGTTCATTTTCAATATATCTTATAAACTTAGAAACTTCGTTAATTTTTATGAAGTATCGAGAGGTGTTTCGTGCTTGCAAAGAGTAACGATATAGATTATAGACAGAATTCGACCCCTAACCCGGCCACCCGGATACCATACCCTAGAGGCTTTATTATGGCTAAGCGCTCCTGCTCAGTAGTAGACAGCTAACGCTGTTTCCCTTTAGTCCATAAATATAAAAATGAATTTAAATACTAAATTTAGTAAACAATAAAATGGGCCATACTTTTTTTAAGAGTGGAGTAGTCCTCTAATATTCCTTCAAAATTAGACTAAGAATCTTCATTAGTAGCACTAATTGATATGAACCCATAAAAAGGAGCAACCTACTTAGTAAACTTTTTCATATTTTTAGTGTTCAAAATTATGGAACTTATTCTCTTAATTATAATTAACACTATATTACTGTACCCTTGACCTTAATTATTACCAGATTTGCCCTCTTTAATTTATCATTATTCCCATTCTATTCTAGGAGCTGGCAATGTGGGCCCTTCTTTTAGTAACTGAAATCACTTTTGTCATATTATCCATGGGCAGTTTCGTAATTTCAATTCCTGACCAAGTGGCTAGGGTGGAGTTGTGGAGGTTTCTAATGAGATGAATGAAATTAAAATTCTTTGAAGTAAGCTTAATTAATAAATTTTATGTCACAAATTTGACTAGCATATTGAGATTAATGTATAACATGTTTGAAATGAAGTCTATAATTATGTCCCTAGTAACCTTTTTTTTCCCTAACAAAGTCAACATAATAAATTTGGTGCAACTAATGGCATAAATTGGGAAAAAACTTAGGGGAGACCAAACTAATGAACTATTTACAAATATTCAATTATTCATTCATGCTTTAAATTCATCCAAACTAATAAATTATGCTTTAACTTGTTTTGCAAATATTCAATTATTCATTCATGCTTTGAAAAGTTAAACTTTTGTATTAGTGATATGAAAAGATTAGTAAATGATATTGGAGTACGGAGTATTATTTTGCCAAGTACGGAGTATCATGAAAATGTCTCTTACTCTCTTTTATGTGTATTTGTGGACATACATTTGGTCCTTAAGTAACGTGGAGACTCAAAGTATAACTACCTTTGTTTGTTTCATTATTTGCAATAAAAGTTAGAGTATTATTTGTGCGACATAAAAGATTTTCAAATACTATAATTAAGAAATTAAATGGAGTTAATACAAATTTGGTGCTATATGTGGCTTTGTCTACGCAACAAAATAAGTGGTAAGAAAATAAGAAGATCTTCAATGTGTTGGCATTAGATTAGTAACTAATAAGATAAAAATCTTTAGTAGAATCAAACCACATCATAATATTTCTCATTGTATGAAGACTAGTTAAACAACTTCTAATCTTTGTGCAATGTACCTATCAAATACAGTGTTCCTAATGATGGCATTGGTTATTCTTTCACTCAAAATTTATGAAAATGGAGAGATTTTTATATACACACAAGTGCAAAATCCACTAAGGTTATTATTTTTAAAAATATGTTAGATACATGGTACACCCAGATGCATGTAATAACATTTGCAAAATATGTTGGTACCACATTAGAATCTAATGAACTTTGGAAAATATTGTAAACAAATTACCAAACTAGTTACTGAGACATTTTCTAACAATAACGTAATTGAATTTAACTTATGATTTACTATATTTTCCATCTTGTATTATCGAACAAAATAATAAGTTAATTTAGTTTGAAAAAAAAAAATGTTGCTTATCATTGTAATTTTCTAATATACACAAGGAATAGATATTTCGTTTCTAAATACATGTAACAATTTGGCTTTTATAATTGATGAAACTAAGGGCCTGTTCTCTTCATATTATTTTCAGTTCAATTCAATACAATAAGTTCAGTTTAGTTTATTTCTTGATTTTCTTCTCTCATAAAATAAATATTCAGTTCAGTTCAGTTCAGCTCAGTATAGTCAATCAAAACAGGCCCTAACTTTGATCATCAATATCTTTATATGTAGTATTAGTTAAAAAATAGTGAACATTTTGAAAATTTACATGGAACTAATCCAACAACATTTTACATATTCCGTAATAACATAGTTTATCCATTCCGGCATTGTGAATTCACATTCTTGTATGCATTACTCGCCCTAAAAAATTAGAAAGTAAATTTAATGTGTGAACGGTGCAAACAGAATGTAAATCTAATGTGTGAGTTATTGCATGTAGTTTTAAAAAAATAACATGTATGAAATTGTTTGTATTTTTTTTTGGTGGGTAACAAGGAAATTTACTGATCCAACACCTCTCATAGGCTAGTCAACTTAATTACGTCCGTCATTGTTTGAGAGTAAAGGGAAAAAGTAAGATAATCCTCTACTTGTGACTAAATATAGGTGATGGAGTTCGAATTTATGACCTAGGAATACAACTTTCAATTTAATCTTCACAAATACAAAAATGTATAAGGCCATAAGATGCCAAGAAGCTACAGCAAAAGAAGTAGTAGAGCCCAAAAAGAGCCGCCCACCACCTATAGAGAATATCACCATTAAATCCATACACACAAATTTCTTTCTTCCCAACCCTTTTCAAGCAAGAGTATCGGCATCGAATTTCTATATTTTCCCCCCATTATATGTTTCTTAGCAATATTAAATAATTAGTTAGTTGATAATATATTAAATCCTATATTAAATCAATACTAAGTGTTCTTTAAAGCATATAAATGGGAGATATTATACTAAATGTTTTGCTAAAGCTAACATGTTAAATTATTCAACTTATTTAGTTGATGGGACAACTAAGTTAGTGGTCAACATCAAATTCAAATGCTTAAATTACAAATTAAAGTCTTTTAATAAATATATATATATAGAAGAAAGTCTATCTACCTAACAAGTTAGGTAACTAATATCAGACGTATATATCTAATGAAACAAACTATAGTTACTTTTGGGTTAAAAATAAGACACATCATCGTGTATACTCAATAGTCAACACTGTAGTATGTTCTTTTTAGTTGTCAAACTGCCAAACAATTAAATCGATTTATTAATACTTATCATTAACTAAATAAAAGAGTGAAAGATAATTAACCTAATGATGATGATTAACCAGATGATGTCATTTAGCCTTAAGCACGTGGAAGAATCGATTAACTCCTATGTTAGTATTTTTGTACACTTGACTTTTAAGACATGAGATTATTCTAAGCAAAAATATTAAAATTCAAGAATAAAATAGTGTACTTAGTTGGAAATCTAATAATCTACACGTAAGCATCACATCGTCGAGTACAAGAAACAATGCAAAGTGGAGGCAAATAGGATCTGTTGCATGTGACCACATCTATATTACTAGTTTCTTAGAAATATTTTTGGTCAATTAGATGATTGATTAACGTTTTCTCAAGATAAGAAATCCTAGACAATTTACGCTACACTGCTTCATACTATCATACATGTAATTGATAGAGTATAAAACATATTCCTGGGCCTCAACCATTAGTTTAAACTTTTGGTTGAGTTGGTCCACTAACATGGTATCGGAGCCAGCGTGACATATAGGTCACGGGTTCGAATCTCATCCACCCCCCACTTTCAAGTGGAATATTAAGCGTTGGGTATGAGGAGAGCCCATGCTGCATCCACACTAAAAATCTTGTAATTAAGAAACAATGCATTCTAATCTTTGAATAGTTTTAAGACTTGTAACCAAGTCTTTAGCAGAAACATACTAAAATGAGGATAAATTTGTATAATAAAATCACTTATTACACTTTTCAAGTCTTGGTCATGAATTGTTCATTGTATAAGTTACAACTTACAACATGTTATCAAAATGCTTGAAAAGAGTTAATAGTGCTTATGTTGTTCAACCTTAAATTAACGAAGTTTTTGCCCAACTAAAAATAAATTTCTCTATGTTTGTTGCAAGCTATATACACCCATATTGAGTTTATTCATTTAGATAGGAAGTTTCAATTAGTAATTATTAATTTTCCTTGACTTTAATTGATCTAAAAATTTGGTTGCTTTGAATTTTCTTTTTCTACATGCCACTAAGTTTCTTCCTATTACGAAAATATTTGTTTTCCTAGACAATATCTTGTCCAAAGAAACTAAGGAATCCATTTTATACACTACAAGAAAAATCACTTTTCGTAGCGATTATTTCGAAGCGATTGTTCATTCGCTACAATATGCAAGTATATGTTTGTGAAATAATTAAGGATGTCGTATCATTTTTACAATCGCCATGGTTTTCCCATATAAAATCGATACGGAAAGCATAATAATACATATCCACACTATTTTTACACATTTATATAATTTTGAGAAATCGTATCATTTACAATCGCCACTAAATCCTAAAAATCGATACGAAAAGCCTTTTCAACACTAGATATATAAATATTGTTTGACAAAGAATACATAAAATATGTCATAGCTTATTGGTGAAACATTTAATATAAAAGTTTGAGGTTGCATGTTCGAATCTTAGGTTAAAATAATCGCTACGAAAAGGTTATTTTCTTGTAGTGATATTCCAAGTTTTTTTTTAAAAAAAAAAAAGACAAAGCCAAAGGTGTCTTATATTGATAATTTTGTCCATCACATACAGAGAAACCTTACATGAGCAATGGTTCTCCCAAATCTGTTCTAAACCAAAAGGAAATACACGGGCTAAATTATGGACAATAGCATTTTCATCCCGCTTAACATGGCACCAAATAACTGAAATAAAGTGAATACTTGTGTCAATTACTAAAGATTAGTCAATAAATAATTTTTCTTTGACCCATAATAGTCAATTAATATAGGTGTATAAATGATGAGATGAATGAAGAAAACAGAAAGAAATTCACATTAGTTTTCAATCGTTACATAATACATACTACACAATTTAAATTGATATAATGTACAAATAAATGTATGTGATGTGTGCTTAAGTTAATATGGTTTTGTATAAAATGATGCAGCTTGCAGAGGACCTGAGATCACTTGGCAAAATTGTATGTCCTGTAACAACAATGACACTCTTGCTCCACTCGAAATCTGTCATCTCTATGCTATTCCTAGGCCATCTAGGAGACGCGCCACTAGCAGGAGGAGCTCTAGCTATCAGCTTTGCCAACATCACCGGCTTTTCAGTCATTAAAGGCATGAGCATGGGAATGGAACCCATCTGCTGTCAAGCTTTCGGGGCCAAGAAACTGTCAGTTATCAGCCAAACCTTTCAAAGAACACTCTGCCTACTACTACTTGCCGCGATTGCAATATCCTTCCTCTGGCTCAACATGGAGCCTATCCTCTTGTTTCTTGGCCAGGATAAAGATATAATCGATGTTGCTAAACTCTACTTGCGATTCTCTATCCCCGAGCTTATTGCTCAGGTTCACCTCCACCCCTTAAGGTCCTTCCTTAGGACACAATGCATCACTAAACCATTAACTATTGCTACTACAATATGCCTAGTTTTACATCTTCCAATCAACTACTTTTTTGTTATATACCTTAAATTAGGTGTTAAAGGTGTTGCACTAGGATCGGCGTGTAACACCATTAACTTGGACCTCAGTATCTTCATCTACCTTCTTTGCTCGAATATGGAGCCTAAGCCGTGGCACGGTCTAACTTTGTTCTCCCCATTTCAAGGTTGGAAAATGGTGCTAAGTTTAGCATTACCAAGTGTGTTATCTGTGTGCTTAGAATGGTGGTGGTATGAAATTATGCTCTTCCTCTGTGGACTGTTGCAGAATCCTAAGGCCAGTGTCGCGGCAATGGGGATACTTATACAGACAACAGGGCTTCTGTATGTCTTTCCACACGCGCTAAGCATGGGCCTGTCAACGCGTATAGGCCATGAGTTGGGTGCTAGCCAGCCTACTAAGGCACAACGATTGGCTGTGCTCGGGTTAGTTTCAGGCCTAACTATGGGTGTGACAGCTTTCGGGTTAACTATAGTGGTGAGATCAGTCTGGGGGAAGATGTACACTTCAGACCCTGACATTCTGTCATTAATTTCTGTGGCACTTCCTGTTTTAGGATTCTGTGAGATCGGAAACTGTCCTCAGACAGCTGCTTGTGGGGTTTTGACAGGATCAGCAAGGACTAAAATCGGGGCTAAAATAAACCTTGTCGCGTTCTATTTGGTTGGCTTGCCTGTTGCTGTTGCAATGGCATTTTGGCTCAAGGTTGGGTTCATTGGTCTATGGTTTGGATTAGCTGCAGCTCAAGCCGCGTGTATGTTCATGATGATATACACGTTGATTAGGACCGATTGGAAACACCAGGCTAAGAGGTCTGAAGAGTTAACACAAGATGCTGAGGAGGAAACTGAGGACTTGGAAACAGGACTGTTATCTTGAGGATTTTTGGGTTAATATGGGAAATTAAGTAAATATGAATTAATCTTTTTTGGGGTGCAATTATTTTGGAGGAGATTAATTGCTGAGACGGTCTCAGCTATCCAAAGGGAAGGCAAAATAATAACAATGGCTTTCATATAGAGATGAATGATTGATTATACAACAATTTTTAACACTAACATTTTGTACAGGCAAATACCGCCTTCTTTACATTATTGCTTCCCTAGCAGAGTAAGGGAGTGTACCATCTCTTGCATTTATTTTGAGTATAGAAATTTGCATTATTTGAAGTTGATTTTATGTGAGTTTATGTACGAATTGGCTATTTAGATACTTACATGTACAAAAGGATGCAAGTTTATCTCTGAATTGCCTTAAAACAAGATTATTGTACCACAAACTCTTACGAGTAATCCATGATAGATGTAGAAGAGACGTGCTCCAGTAAATTGTCTAAAATAAGGTATACCACGTACCATACATTGGTATACCTTCCATTTTGTAGACCTGAAGGATCAATAGAACTTTCTTTTCGTACTTAAAATTTTGTCGGAAGCCAAATTTGACAGTCTTTATGTTTATTAGATTACAGCAATAGTAAAATTAAAATTTTTGATCGTATTGAGTTCTGATTTGTGTATATAATATAATAATCTTTCAATAGCTTATGAAGTTTTTGGAGAACATAATTCATAAGTACTTCGTTTAATGCATGGAAGGAAAACAAATGGGTTAAATAATAAGGCCTTAACAGTCAAGCCCAATCAAAGAAGAATTTCCAAGCTTCTTGGGCTCATTAATTATGGTCTAGATAAACAAATACAGTAGAATAAATCGAGAGGCCCAAGAAGAATGAAACGAAACAAGTGACGGTGTGAGTGTTTGAGTAAATAATTTATACAGTATATAAAGATTATAAACGGCATAGTAAAGACTAAGGTATTGTTCTGTTCACCTTATTTTCACTTAGTTCAGGGTTAGTAAGTTCAAATTAGTTCAGATAAGGGTTAATAAGTTCAGGAAAAATAAGTTCAGATAAGTTGTGATAATTAGGGCTGCCAAGTTTATTTTATAACTAAAATCATATAAGTTCAGATTAATAAAAATTAGGTGAATAGAACACATCCTAATTGTAAAAAGTAAGACATACTAGGACCGGCAATTTCACCCGAACCCATAGATAACCAAATCATCCGCCCGATTAAATGGATGAAAACCTGACAAAACACGGATTTTATATGGATGGTGGATGGATCGGATCGGATTTGGGTGGAGCGTCATCCATCTATCACCTGACCCATCCATCCACTTATAATTTTAAAAAATTTACAAATGATTTTTTTACCTACTTGTAATACTAAAAAAGCAAATACTTTATATATAGAAGTAATATTACTTACTCTTTGTATAATAATGTGAATATTGGGAAATTTAAAGATTTTGTCAACTACATATCAAATTCTTAGTTTATGTATATTAGTGTTAAAAATAAACGATGGTGTATTTAAGTATTTTATTTCACCCGATTCATCCGCTGATGATGGATGGGTTGGATGTAGATGAAAAGTTAAATGGTTGGATGACGGATGGATTCTTAGGGGATGAAGGAATTGAGCTCCACCTGATCATTGCCATCCCTATACATGACTAAACAAAATAAAACAAAGGAGTATTATGAATTCGAGAGAGTACAAATTGATAGTTGCTACAATGGTGATTGGGGCTGCACTTGGTTGGGAGGACCGCGTGTTCGATCCTCTACAACAATAATTGGGAGGAGATTGTAACCTACCCTCCCAGTCGAGCCCCAATTCCGGATTATCCCAAAGGGTGAACAAAAATAAATAAATAAATATTGAAAGAGTAGAAGAAAAAAAATATATTATAACGTGTTAAATGGTAAATAATTTTATTTGCGCTAATGGGTATTAATCAGGTTCTAAGCATGTACAGGATGACCGATCGCTCAAAGCCCCAGGTGAAATAAGACCCATAAAGTTTTTTAGATAAAATTGATAATTTAGTACTCCAAAGTATTTTTTGTTGATATTAATCATACGAAATATTTATATAGATACAAAAAATTATTTTATGGCCGATAATTTGACAAAATTGCATCAAATCATTTTTAGTGTTAACACTTGTAGTCTCACCTCTTGTATAATAACATAAACTAGCTTTTAAGTTTGGGCAATGTCTTGATAGTGTTCATTTATTAATATTTTCTTTTGCTTCAAAGTTTAAAATCTAATATTGCATTGTTTAGTGTTAAAATTTACATGTATAAACTTGAGATTCTATGACCAAATATAGAACCACTACTTGAAAGTTGAAACTACTCACCTACCCCAAAAAGGCAAAAACCACCACCGACCACCGAAATGTAGGTAGAACTAAAATTCAGACCATTATTCTATACAAATTCTAAAATTGGCCTACCTATCACAGTAATTAAATCAATCTCTTTGCCAAGCCAATTTGTGTCTTTGTGAGGAGGGGACGAGAAATTAAATCTAATATATTTAAGTTATAAAAGCCTTTATATTTTGTAAATGAATTAAACCGAACAAAAATATGTAGAGAAAACTGGCTGAATTAAATAAACTAAAATAAACTAAGCTAAACTAAATGTAAAGAGGAATATTGCTGAATTATATCATTGTTATGTTTTTTTTAATTGCGTAAGATAATAAGAGGCAAATTTATTAATATATATACTCAATTGTTTAATATAAAAAATAAAGTTCATCGTATGCTGGAAAGAATTGAAGGAACAATGGAGGGAAATAGAGAGCATAGACAGTGAATTTGAAACCTATGACCGAAAGAAAGAAAATAGAGAAAATCTATCGGTCAAGATCATAATCTATCAACACTATGTTAATAATTTAGTGTGTTATTATAAAGTATATCTCTAAGTACATACTAGTATAATAATTTGGTGTACCATTATAATCACATTTTCTCTCTCCTCATTCTCTTGGTTAGAGTTTGCTACAAGAAGAAACGGGAACATGTTGAGGAGATTGCTTTTTACTATACTACACAAATTTTATTCATTTTTTCGCCTTTTAAGCACACAAAGAAACAAACTAGTAATGTCCCACGTTTTCCTTGAGGAATATAATAAGTGAAATTGTCATATCATTAATCCACATCAAAGAATTAGACGACTTTTGCCTCACAAAGAGACATTGTTTCAGACATGTCATCTACTAGATTGTAACGTCTCTCTTGCATATCTATATTATTGTTTTTGAATAATAATTATGATTTCTCTTTTGCCACATATAGTATATGTTTATAATAAAGGTAATATGAAGGCAACTGGATTAACGATGTTAGGACAATAACAATAATAAGGATCTGTTCTCTTCAGCTGATTTTCAATTTACTTTAGTTCATTTTCTAATTTTATTCTCTTATATAATATCCAGCTCAGTAATTCAGTTTAGTAATGGTCCTCATAACCCCAATGCATATACCTTTGAACAATCTTATATATTGTTGATAATAACTAGATGAGGGGTTTGTATGATGATGATGTGACAATTGAACAGATTAAATCCCTCTAAAATCTGATCTAAAAGCTAAAAAAAAAACTTTTTTTTCTTTTTATCTCCACAATGAAATCTAAAATGCAATATTTTTCATGTAGGAACCGGATTAGATTATATTATAAAAGTTCTTTAAAAAAAAATTGTTTTATGATTTATATCAGTCTTTAATTTCTTATTACATGTCAATCCCAATAGGAGAAAATTATTGAAAGTAATAGACTCACTAAACTTCTGAAAGGGTTTTACATGTCTAGAAATCAAAGTCGATTAGGAATATTAAAAATGATTCATGTTAGAGGACCAACTCAACCAAAATCTTAAGCTGATGGTTGAGGCCCAGAAATATGTTTTTATACTCTATCAATTCATAACCCTTTAAATCAAAATATTTAAACCAACTAATGACTCAAATCGATTAATTAACGAGTTTGCTCTAAACGATAATTAATTATGAATGGTAAGTACCAAAAGCAACATATATTATTAGGACAACGAAATATTTATGGGAAGATATAAATTTAGAAGCAAGTAAAATTTAATTTCTTATATTTGAAATATCAACCTCCTAAACTTTGCTCGTACCAATAATACTATGCTCATTGTTGACCAAAGATATCGACAATTGTTTACTTCCTTTGTAACCAATGGTATTAGTAGTTATAAGCAAGTTATAAAGTATAGTTTAATTTTCATAAACAAGTTTAACGACTATTAGAAAATGATGTACTCAAACTCAATAGTTTATTTCAACAATTTAGGCTTATAAACTATGGGGTATAAACGCGTAAGGTACAATGTCATTGACAAATTACGCTACATATAATTGTCAAAAGTCAGTAGCATATTTCTATTTTATTTGACATCATAAACAACTTATTTTGACCAATTTTGGTCTTCAAAATATTAAGTTGACCAGCAAACCAAATTTATTCACATTCTTCTATCGAATAAAGGGTCTACATTTTTCAAGATCTCAACTACTTGAATTAATCTTCCAACAACATTCTACTCAAGTACTTTTGTAGTTTTGTAAATGTACTTGTGCCAAAAACAGGAAAAAATGGAGTTAGCAACCTCTTCTTGCTTGTTGCTTAGCGTTATGTAAATAATGAGAGTACTAGATGATTCTTAGAAAAAAGTTGTTTATTTGGACATATGCTTAATACTACGTAGAAGAATATACTCCATAAGAATTACTCCGTGTAAACTATGGCTAAGAGTCTGTTCACATTTACTGAACTGAATTGAGTTGAACTGAACTGAACTGATTGGAACTGAATTGAACTGAACTGATTGGAGCTAAACTGAACTGAATTGAAATGAATATTTTATGAGAGAAGAAAATTGGGAGCTGAACTGAACTGATTGAAGCTGAACTGATTGAAGCTGAACTAAAATTAAGTAAATGTGAACAGACCCTAAGTTCCTTAAGCTACACAAAGAAGCCTTATAGCTCAAATGTCAAAAGCACTCTTAAAAGAAAGTACAATATCCTTACCATGCATAAGTAGTCGGTTTGAAAATCAAACTATTTGTCTTTGAATATACTACAGGATAGACCAGACAATACCATTGTCGGCTTTGTATCCCATATTCCATTGATCTTGGGAAATGAGCAGAATGACATAGAATACACAAGTTTTGGCAAGCAACAAATAAATCGAGCTCAACAGAACACCAATAGTTACGAACAGTATGAAACATATTTTGCTTAATTGAAATCTATTTAGTATCAAAATGTAGCTTTATTAGTGCTAATCAAAATTTAGTATTTGTTGGTATCCAATTGTTACCAAAAATATAACTTAGTATAAACAAGTTTCCGCTAAAGTATTTAATGAGTCGCGTTACTAGACAGACTTTCTCATATAATGAGAGGGTAGAGTTGTAGAGAGGCATATCTTGCACCATTACAATTTACAAGTTACAATATGTTATACTTTGTCTTACCATTTAACCATCTGAC